TGGACCTTTAATCCAAGAGAAACGCCACCAGTCTCAGTGAGGTTTACATGTAAGAGGCAGAAATGGACCATCAGAGCATAGGAAGAGATAGTTGATAATTGAGGTTATCAACAAAGAGGGACTCATAAATGCTAGCATGCTATTTTGCTCTTTAAAATACGTTTTTTGTGTAGGCCCACTTAACATTTAGAAGCATACTGATGCCCTTGGATCAAATGTGCTGTTGACAGCAAGGATGGTTATTCAAAATCTTGTGTTCCCTCAGTCATTTCAGACTGGAAATTGCCTCTAAAACATTTCTACATTTTCTACTCCTCAATAAAATTCCACTCAGTTTGTTCTCTCTTCTAAGAAATTATCTGATGTTAATACAAATACGAATATGTGTATGCTGGGCTGCTCACCTTAAATATATACTCAGCTTTTTCTTCTCTCTTTCATCCTCCTCCCTTCCACATGCATTTCATTTTTGAAACCCGAAACAACTTCCGTGTGCTACGAGTGCCTTCATCGGTACAGGGTTATTCAGGCCAGACAGCAACTTGAACTGCACGCTCAGGCACGAATCCATGCGTCCCCCTTAACCCTTCAGTGGGATGCTCACAACTCATTAAGTACTTTTTTCTTCACAACTTCCAATAAATCCAAACTAAAATCATTCCTTTACCTGTTCCAAAAAAACTGTGACCTTTCATAACACTGCCTGTGGCTGACTATGGCAATCACAGAGGTCCAACCTGAGCTGATTTTCATCTGATTTTCATCCAGCTGTCCCTGGTACTGGTATCAGAGTGGCAGGGGCAGAGCCTGCCCACGCCTGCTCGGCACCGCAGTCACACAGCAAGGGCACCCGGTGCTCCCACCGTTGCTGCTGTCAGCATCTCGGGGAGCTCAGGTATGATCCCACAGGCTTCAGCACCGTTTCTGACCACCATGCAGACACTCCGCAAGCTTTGAAAGATACAGAAACATTTGTCTTATTAGTATTTATCACACTGCTTAGTTAATGCATTTTTTGGATAGTTTTTCCTCCATAGGATTTTCCTTCCAATCCTTAACTTCTCCCCTGCTTATCTTAAAGAAATGAGGTATACTTCACATAATCACCTGTACTTAGGACTGAATTTCATTGTTTTGGCCAGGTTCTGGTGGAAATTATTGATTGAAAAAAATTCTCGTTGCGACAAAATGTAAATACTGGGAGAGACTACTGTTGCAGAAGAAAAGCCTGATGCTCAAGTGTTGATGCTCAAATGCCCTTGGTTCTGAAAATCTTTATGATGCATAAATAAACTGTATTTTACCAACAGCGAATGAATTTGTAGCTTACTACACACTTTCTTTTCAGTGCTAATTTACCACAAACCTGTCCCACAAATGCCTCTATTTTTCTGAGCAGGTCTGTGTGCAATACTGCCTAAAATCGCCAGGTGGAGCTACACAGATAACCTCATTTAGCTTTATTTAATGACAGACAGTAGAGTCCAGGTTTTCCTAAAACTCCCTTTTTGGACAGCACCTTAAGACACGCAGCATCAGCCTGGGTCCATAAAACCACTGCCAATCCACAGCAATCCAAGACCGTAAGCTCAGTGCGCGTGAGGCAGTATTTCTTGTATGTGCACAGGGCAACAGAGGGGACCGGGGGGAGCTCAGGTCCAGGAGGTATCAGCACAGACCAGCCGGCTCAGCAAAGCCGCAGTTCTGAAACACACTGCGCACAAAATGGCTTCAGCAACGTACTTGGTAACAACTAAACATATCCTGCAGGTTCCTGCTGCCTCCCCTTCTTTTGTGCCTTTTTCTTCATCAGTTCCACTCTTTATTGTATTTCTTTTCTGCCGAACAAAAGTCTAGCTTAGCCTGGCAAGACAACTCTACCTTTGATCATATAATCACGGCACTAAACAGCCTGACACTAATGAAAGTTCTGCAGCCTCACTACAGCTGAAAACGCAAGGCTTTGCCTGTAACTTCTTAGCAATTAACTTTTTTACATAAGGTAAGAACTGGCAAGAAAAGACGGGTTCCCTGTTTTTACTGCTATGCCTTCTTTAGTCCTCAAGTAATCAGGACTTCATTACAGCTGTTAAAATAATGCCACAGTTTCTTAGCTTACATCTATTCCTCTGCTCTAAAAAAGCCAATTAATACCCCTAAGGGAAAGGTTTTCCTCACCCCATCCACCAACAAGAAGTTCTATACAGTCAAAGGGAAATGTAAAACAAATTATTCAAAAGAAAACATTACACAGTTTTAAAGTCTCAGGTATCTAAACCGTTTTCAACTCTTTTCTGTGCTCAATGGAATGTTGGAGATTTTTACAAAGTAACTGTTAACATGATCAGAGTAGATGTCATCTTGAAGTTTGTAGGTCACAGTGTATGAAAACTGAGTTGCAAACTTCAGAATATAGAAACTTAGGTTGATTCCCAGCAATTACCGGCATCTTAAGACAAGCAGGTCCTGCCCATATTAAGTAAACAGAAAAATATCTATTAAAGTTCTTCTAGAATTATATTCAGAGTTACGTTTTTTAATATTGTACTTGACACAAATAAGCTGCAAACTTAAGAAGGCACCACGCATTTCTTCCTAACCTTGGCGCTTCTCCAGCTGAAAACGATGACTGCAAAATCAAACCTCAATCTCCAGCACTTTATTCGCAAGTACTTATTCATGTTCTGACTTTACAGCCCTCTCAGGCCATGACTATAATGTGAAAAAAAAAACCAAAATATGGCCCAGCCATGGACCTGAATACTAGCCCATGACAGCCCACGTCCCCCAGCTATGAGCTCATTCCCTGGCTCTGTTCTAAGCTGCTTGAACTCTCCCCTGCCAAAACAAACCTGCTCCTAGACGTGTTAGACCTAAGAATTATATCTGGGGCCAGTTAGTGTCGCGGGGTCGGGGGTTAGTCTCCGGCCCTTCTTCGTTTAGCAGTGCAGATGAGGGCTGAAGGCAATGGACCTAACTCTGATGTCATCAGAAGGAAGGTGAAAAGCATTTATGATGGGGTCTGACCTAGCATGTGATAATAAATCTTGCTTTTCTGAGTTGACTTTATGAGATGTAGTTACGAATTAGCAAAATGAACTAAACATTTTTTTGTATTCACCTCTGAGGGACCTCCAGTACACTGATGTGGATCGAGCTCTATGCATTTTCCATAAGCTCCTTTTTTAACCACTTGAAAAATATCCCACACTTCATCTCTAAACTGCCCACGTGAATGTTTGACAGATACACTGTTATGCTACTGCTCTCTTCAGCGGAACGTGTTGTCTGTTTTAATGAGATTGGAAAATAACCCCAAAACAGCACACTTTGGTGGAAAAACACATGATTTCATTTAGAAAATCGTGCTTAAACCCAAAGATTTTCTCTCCTCTCCCTACACAGGACCAAAATTAAAGGAGCTAATAGCAAACATGCCATGATTTAGAATTTGACACCTTGAAACTGGTTGTTTCTAAATCATCTCCTTTCATTTTGTGACAAGTGATATCCATCACCTTCTGTGTTTGCATCCTGATCAATATCCTGACACAGAACTCTGGTACCTGCTGTTCTTTGGGAAATAATAGGAGATTACATGAAAGAATATATAATTTCTCGAGGGTAGGAGCTGCCTTCCTGTCTCAATTCCGTATACTGCGTTTAGATCCATAAAGCCAAACTCCCCCAGTACAACTCAAGTAATCCCACTAGCTATGGAGAATATTCTAAAATACTACAGCATATTTGAACATTTTTCCCAAAAATTACGCTTATCCTTCTTGCCAGGAAGTCCAGAATTGATGGATAACAATTCATAGCATGATTAAGGAAACTCAACAGATTTCACTCTCTTGAAATGGGTCTTAGGTCTCAGAAGTTTATAATATGCAGAACTAAGATTATTTTTTTTTTATAATAAACATTACAATTTAAAAAACATCTTGTACTTCTTACCCTTCCTTGATATTCCAGGCATTCTTACTGGGCTTCCACCAAAATGCAATGTTTGCATTTTTTTAACGCTACACAAATTTGGCATATATTCAGCGATACAAAAATGTATCTGAAAAGCGGACAATGAGATGTATAAAACAATTCTATCACCTGTAACATATCAGCTCCATGTATTATTCACTAGTTACTATTGTTCTTGCTCTGTCCTTAGAAAATTCTGCCTCTAGAAGGAAAAAACTACACAAAACTCCTATCTTAAGCCTACAAACTTCAGATGTTTCCTTCAAAAAAGGCAAATAATTCTCTTCTCAAACTACGTATATGAATGAAGTCTCTGGCAGACTGAGGACTTGTACAACAAACTGCAGTCCTGTGCTCCCACTTATTTCCGGAGAAATCCCATCCCCAGAGATCAGCTGTGCTCACACAACATGCTCTTCCTGCAAGAGACCCAAAGGCTTCAGTAAGAATTTGGCTGGGAATGTTTTAAAATGTTTCCCCTTCTACGCTGCTTTTGAAGACAGTCACGGTACATGGAGTCTCTCTTGTTGGAGGACCCTGGGATAAGCAAAACAGACATGCGAGAGCAGTAAAATTAAATGGCAAACTGTTCGATGGTTTTCAGAACTTATCGGTTCCCTCGTTTTGTTCAGTTTTAGGGGAAGGGAAAACCACATGACCTGACACTGGGAATAATATCTTTTGCTCTCACAGACAGGTTCTTCCCATAGATGAGAGTTCAGGACACCACATATCGTAACACAGAGTATGCTCGTAACTCTTTGGGTCATTTTTAACAAGTGGAGTTTGAAGAGAAATTATAATCTTGGTGTTACGCACAAAAAAATTCTATACAATAGCCAGTATTACAGTAGACATCAGGAAATGAAGGGTTGGGTTTTTTCTTCTAACAGCCTGGGTTTTAACAGTAGCCTGATAATTTAAAATTTAAGAGAAAAAATATAGCAAAATAACTGAAACTTTTTAAACAATCTTTTTCAGTTTAAAAATCAAAAATTATAAGTCACCTGAAAATCACTGACCTTTTCTAATTTTTCAAAGTGTTCTCTGAGGAACTTCATGGGTCGGTCTGGCTTTGCTATGCAAAGGTTTACAATGCACTCTTTTAAAATCTGTTGGATGTTGTGCTTCTGAACATAGAGTTCACATCCCTTCAGGCTCTCGTCTTCTTCCACATTGCAGGAGGAAGAGGCAGCAGCCATCTTCAGGCTTGTAAACAGAAAACAGACATAGGTAAGAAAATGGTGCAAGAAAGAGATAAGAGGCAGTTTCCAAATCCTTCGTCAGAGAGATCTGGAGGAACAAAGATATTTTAGTATTGCCTGTTGCCTATTCAGGAGCTATCGATTCTGAACGTTTTAATGTTCTGGGGATCAACATATCAGTAAGTACAAAAAGAGCATTTTAACTCCTAGACGGCAGTCAACCTTTGGAAATAATGCTGCGATTAATCACACAAGGCCAGGAGTTTCAGAGACAGCTATTAAATGACAGCGCAAAGCCTTGCTTTTCTATTCCCTTGGGGACTCCCTCCCCGTCACCACAAAGCCAGTTTCCCCGCAACAGCAGGATTTTTTGGTAAATTTTACCATCTCCCCCTTCCACAACATTCTTCCAAGCCAACGACCCTTCTCGGCCCCGCGGCAGATGGGGGGGCCGAGCAGCCCCAAGGTAAGTGCGGTAACTGGGGGGGGGAAGGGAACAACCCCAAACCCCTCTTTATTTCCCCCAGCGAGCATAGGTCGCCCCGTTACA